TCTTCATCTAGGCTTTGGGAGCTCAGTCCAGTGCTCCAATGTGGGTCTGTCTCTATGTGAATTTTTTATTTTATTATTATTTTTTGGTCAGGAGGGAATGTTTCAAAACAGGGTCTTTCTGTGTAGCCCTGGCTGTCCTGAAACTCACTCTGTAGACCAAGCTGGCCTTAAACTCACAGAGATCCACCTGCCTCTACCTCCTGAGTGCTGGGATTAAAGGCATGTGCCACCACTGCCCACATGTACATGTATTTAATACAATGCATAATTATTCTTTAATTTTTTTAATTTGATATTTGTTATTTTATGTGCATGTGTGTTTTGACTGCTTGTGTGTCTGCACACCATGTTTATGCAGTTCCCACAGCGGCCAGAAGGAGGCGTTGGATCCTCTGGAACTAGAGTTAAAAGGACTTGAGAAACCACTTGAGAAAGCTTGGAACCAAACTCAGCTCCTCTGAAAAAGTGAAACAATATTTTTACCTGCTAAGCCATCTCTCCAGCTCCTGGAAATTTTAAATTTTCTATTAAGAATTCAATAGCATGTGATCCAACCAGATTCTCTGAATGTGGCCGGATTTTCTGAATGTGGCTGGCCTGCAGTCTTTCCGAGAAGCCATTGACAATGACACTGGGACTGGTTTCCTCTGCATATACTGGATTTTTGGGATCCAGTCTGTTTGGATGCTCACCTTCCTGGACCTGGAGTGAGGGGGGAGGAACTTGGACTTCCCACAGGGCAGGAGACCCTGACTTCCCTTGGGGACAAAGAGGGAGGAGGAGAGGGAGGGGGGGAGTGGGAGGGCGTTGGGAGGAGGGGCGTAAATGGAAACTTTTTATAATTTAATAAAATTACAAAAAAAAAAAGAATTCAATAGCACAAACTCAGATTACTTAATTCTAAAATGAGTAATAATCTAAATAGCTGATTCCTGAAGGGAACCCTGCAAATAGTGACTCGGTTCATAAAAAATGTTGAGCACAACCGATCACTGGCGAAATACAAATCAAAATTAAAATGCCACACCACCTTATTTAAATGAATAATGGTTGTTATCCAAAAGACTAACGATAACAAAGGCACAGTTCAGCTTGTGGCAAAAAGGGAACCCTGGTACTGGTACACTCTTGCTTAGAGTGTAAATTAGCCCAGTCATTATAGGAGACAGTATGGCAATTCCTCAAAAATAGTAAAACTAGAAGCAGCACATAATTTAGTGATCCCACAGCGGTGTATAGATAGACAAGGGAAATGATTTAGTGATCCCACAGCGGTATATAGATAGACGAGGGAAATGAGATCAACATGTCAAAGAAACAGCTGCGCCCCATGCTCAGGCTTACTCAATTCATAATAAGCAGGAATTGGAAACAACCCGTGTGTATCGCCTGACGAATGGGTGTAGAAAAGGCAGTGCACAGACCCAACAAGGTACTGACCAGCCATAAAGGGAAGGAGGCCCTGCCATCTTCAGAAAGAAGGATGGAAATCGAAATCACCCTGTGGCGTGAAGTGTGTCAAACATAGACAGACAAGTGCTGTGGGAACCAGGTCCTTGGGAAATCTGAAGACATTCATCTTGTAAGTTTGGCGGTTGGATGAGGGCCATCGTAGGCTGGGAGAGGAAAGGTGCAGGCTTGGTGGAAATCTGACCAATGCCTATGAATCCACAAAAGCTCCCGTGTGTTCTCTTATCTGAGAGCGACTGCAGACAATAATCGACTACTATATATCCCAAAGAAGAGAGAAAAAGATTTTGAAATTGTCCATCAGAATGAAATGCTAATAATTTAAGGAGACAGAAGTGTGTGTTCTGATAACATATTATGCATTATATAACACGTAACGACACATTCTGTAACAGCTGCAACTTTTTCCTTCTGAAGTGTAAGATTAACTTTTAAAATACATTTTTATGTTAAAATATGTAGAAGTCAGGAAAAGCAATTTTCTTGTAGTTTGATATGACAGAAATTGCACCCATCTCTTCCATTGGCACACCATTGGCAGGAGCCTTCCCCTGGATGCTTTGGCTCATCCCTGAGATGAAGCCGGGAAGTATCACAGGAGGCTGGGCACTGTGTCCAGAAGGCAAACTGACCAAAGGACAGACACTGGTGTTCTTTAACAAGCCTGGCTTTGCTGAACTTTGGGTTTCCTCTTGTGACAACTGATCATATATTTTTCTTTTCCTTGGTTTGTTTGTCTTTTTATTTCTGTTGATTTAAAAAGATAAATGAATGAATGTATAGGAGTTTTATTTAAATCATATCATATTTTTGTAAATTCAGTTTTTCTTTGTAAATAATTAGCACCTATTCTGTTTTCTTTCTTTTTGAAATATGAAATCCTACCCATAAAAATTAGACAGATTTGTAATATTATATTGACTTCTTAAAACTTTTGGGATTGTAGGAAGTTCTTTAGATGAATGGAACTCATTAAAATTAAAACTTAAAAAAGACTGCTTCTAAGGTCTAACTGCAGTTACGGGAGAATCAGAGAATTGATCTGACCTTGGAGGAGTTCTTTTGATCAATGAATTTCAGTGTTCTCTCCTGTCTGTGTGATATTATTTGTGTGCCTAATTAGAGATTGTTCTAAAGATTAAGCAAAGTAACCTGAAGAAAGCACTAGAAAAGGCAAAGTTTGGGTCATTGTTAGGAATTGGAAATGCAACAGTGTTTAAAAGCTCATGCAGACATCATTAGACGACCAGATGCAGACCAGATGCAACTTAAGGTTGTTTCTGCTTCCATGGACATATTCGGCTACTTAGCTACTCTTCTCAGACACTGCTCACTCTGTTCCAAGCTCTGGTCTGGTCTTTCACAATTCTCTCTCTCTCTCTCTCTCTCTCTCTCTCTCTCTCTCTCTCGGATGCATGTGTGTGTGTGAGCACGCATATGTGCACACAGACACGTGTGTGGGTGTGGTTTAATAGCAAGCATGTGCCCAACCACAGTTATGTGAGTCAAGGATCTTCTGAGACTTGTGTTTACTTGGAGCTGTTCCGTTCCTCATGGCAACACAAGAGGCTGGGGCCAGCGTCAAGCAGTTCTGGGGGAAGTCAATCAGTTCAGCGTGTGCTTCAGAGCTTCTTTCTGTCACTCTTTCAGAAGAGCACAGGTCACATTCATTGTGTCAGCACTGAATCTTTCTTCACCTCCTGCGATTTTGCATCCTGTCTAAGTACACAGTCACCATCTGATGAGGTTAGCTGGGCAGAATTATACGGCTGTGCCCAGTGAGCTCAACTTATCAGCACCTCACCGGAGCATCTCCACCGTCCATGGGGAGTCCTCAGACTTCACCAAGAAGCAGAAAGACAGGGGTGTGAGGAGGAAAGTTTAAGACCGGTCTAGGGTATGACTTTAGCTTTATTAGAGTTTTAATAATACACCGAAGAAATGCCTCTTTTAACAAAAATAGAGGACTCGTTATTTTCTTCACACAAGTGAAGCTTAGCTTAAAAAGCAGCTTGTCCTGGTGGTTAGCTGCAGATGATTGGGATGTAGCACTGGAAAGAGGAAAGGAGCTGAGGTGAGAAAGGTGGTGGAATTAGATGGTTCCAGGCTCCTCCCCTCTTCCCACCTAGGGGGAAGTTGAATTTCTGCATCGAGCAGACATCACTGTTGTCTTGCCAGGACCCTCTCGTTGCTGAGATGTGGTAGGTTCTGAGACAAGTGAGGGCCTGCTCTCACGGAATCTAAATTAAGATGCCAGAGAATAAAAGGACATACAGAGCCAGTAACAAAGAGACTCGCAGTAATTGACAAGCAAATGGGATGTGCCCAGTGGTAGTGGATGACAGGAAAGGTTTTAAAGAACATATAAGCCAAATTGTCATTAAAGTTTTTTATGAAAACATAACATATAGTAACACTCAGCTGTCTCTTCATAAAGTCATGTTGAAATATTAATCCCCAATGTGAGAAGAATAGTGACTGAGTATTTGAAGGGTCGTCAGATCGTGAGGGTAGAGCCCTCATGATGGAATTGGTGCCAGTTATGAAAGGGCGGAGAGAGCAGCCTAGCCTCCCACACTGTGCGTTTGCTCAGTGGGACAAAACCATCATGACAATTGGATCCTCAACTGGGGTCAAATATCCTGATTTTGAATTCCCAGGCTTCAGACGGTGAAGAATAAATCCCTGTAGTTTATAAGTTTATATGGCATTATTTTGTGGTATCCCGAATGAACACAGATGGAAGATGAGATCTTAATAAGAAACAGGCCACGAGAACTAAGCATCACAAGTACATGAAGCGAAAGACTTAGAAAGGACTGAAAACCAGGCCCTGGTGGACACAGGAAAGGGGCAGGTTACCTGAGCGACAGACGAGACTAGAGAACTGGGAAGTACACGAGGTGACTGCGTCAGCTCACACAGACCTCCACCAGGCAGGGCAGGGCGCCAAGGTTACTAGTGCCAGGTTTTAGTTCAGCAATGGGTCCACTTTGAGGAACCTTGGGGACATTGAAAAAGCCACGGCTGTCAGAATCAGGAAATTATAAGATCTAGGAAGTCTGAGCAGGTTGGTTCATGAATCAACCGTTGAGAGTAGAGAGACCGTGAAGGGGAAGGAGTCATTACAGAAACAGCATCCAACTGTGGAGGAGCGAGTAACAGGCATGACTGATTCTGTGAAGGTCTCAGTTGACTGAAGGAAAACTCTCCAACAGGGTGAAACAGATCTTCCTGATGGAGAATGAGCAGGGTTACTGTGGCTTCATACAAACCCTAGCGCTTGAACTCAGGGCCCCTGCATGCCATGGTGCAGAGCCCACACATACAAACCTTATGCAAGCCCTAGTGCCATGGGCAAATCCTCACCAGTGTTGAGACCAAAGTCTGCAAGTGTTCTAGAAGACAGGGTAGCTACGTAGCACTGAGACACAGCAGGAATGGCAATCAGGTGGGAAGAATCTTACTTTTGATGGTTAAGAATCAAATCAATACAATGTACCTTTGGGTCTGGATGCTGTTTAAACTAGGTCTTCAATATTACTATGAAGCAAGCCTTGATGAGAAGAAAGATGGAAGTTCACTGCAGCTGGAACTTGATTGTGCATTCCACAGGCAGATGTGCCCGGGGTCGAGGAGAGATGAACTGAAGACTTCTATGCCGACAGCGCCTCAGAACGGCAGCAAGTGCCCGTGCCTTCAACAGCAGCGCCATCTCTAACTCTATGGTACAACTCCATAGTCTTCTTCACAGACCACCCTGCCTCCTAAGTAAATGTGTGCTTAAATTTCTATTAATTGTAGTAAAACCGAGCCATAATTATGAGTCGAAATGAAGTATATTTGAAGATGTAAGAAATATTTCATAAAAACATACATATTTGTTAACTTCAAACTTGTAAGCATTTTAGTATTTCCTAGAGCAAAGTAACGACAAGACCGCGGTTGTTTTGTTAGAAGTACTCATTCTTGGGGCCTTCCTGTGCTCTGGACACAGTGCAGAACACATTTCACATGACCTCATTCCCCTCTACTCTGCCCCTGTTTGCATATTTAGCAGTGTCCCAGAGGAGCTGAAGGGCACCGAGGGCCATGTTTCTGCCCTGCATCATCTGGATGGCAGCTGCTTTTGTGCTAATGTCTTCCGTACTCATGGAGCGCGTGCAGCCGCTCTTTTGAACTTCCTTTGCTTCTCCTGCAGAACCAAGGCAATAACAAATTAGCTAAACTAACCGCTTGGTCCTCAGATATCTGGACAATAACGCACAAAGGGAACGAGAGATTAAGGGGTCCGCTCTAGGCCACACAACTGCTGCCTGTTATACAGAGTGAAGCCGGAACCTGACCAATCTTCTATTACCATCACTTTCTCCCAAAGGGAGCTTTACATGAGAGCAAGAGTCGAGTCAGTGTGTGTTCAGGGTTAGGACATGTAGACGTTGGTTCCCCTCGGTCAGTGCATTTCCAAACCAACGAGTGGGATGGAATAAGAAATGACTCCCGCCAATGGTATGTGGTGTTTTTAACCGGCCAGTGTGTGAGGAACTGGGGAGAGACAGCTAAAACCAAAACACTGTGGCTTGAGAAAAGCACCTGGAGGAAACAGAGCCTGGCTTCCCACACAGCCTCACCTGTGGCGCCACTCTCCCCAGCTCACGGACGCGGCCGGCACTCGCCACTCTCTGCTTTACGGCATCTGCTCAACTATGTCTGCTTCATTGCTCATTGCTCCCTCTGCTCACAACCTGACCCTCAGCTCAGCACCCCAGCAAGCAGGATGGAGCGAGCTAAAGAGAGAGGACACTAAGATCACCTTCCTTGCCTTTCTCAGGTGGATTTTTTTTTTATTAAGATGGTGATAGTAATGAGCATTGCAGCTCATTTGAGGGGTGTGTGTGTGTGTGGTATGTGTGTTGACAGGGAGGGTGATCTTAATGATGGCTGGTCGTTCTTGACCCATTGATGAAGTTTCCTGAATAGAAACAACCTCTTCTAACACAAAAGAGGCTAGTCACAGAAAAACCTCTGGTGATATTAAAAAGCCTGAACAAAGCCAGGCATGCCTTTAATCATAGCCCTTGGGAAACAGAGGCAGGCAGATTGCTGTGAGTCCTTGAAAGAAAAAAGCCCAAACAAATATAAGAGGTGTTGATTTAATGAAGGTGTTGGAACCACACAGGAAACAAGAAAATAGGCAAGATTTGGTGGAAACAGTGTCTGTTGAGAGAAAGAAGCAAAGGAATAAATTAACAACACATTAAGAATTGGCTGCCACACACCAGTGTTCCCTCCCAGTCACCAGAGTGGGGAGGGTCAACTAAACTCAGGATTTCAGACTGAAACGGGCTGTGAAGCTATCACATTCCTGCTGAAGAGGGAGGGTCTCAAATCATGCTCTCTTTTCAATAGCTTATTTACGGATATATTAGATATCTCTCACTGGACACAGGAATTTAACTGAAGTGTTTGCTCGCTGTTTTACAGCCACCACCATGCCTGTCGAATTACTCCTTAATGATCTTCTGTCTAATGGTCGTTCCCTAAGCAAACCCAGGGTGTTGACCGCTTGAGTCGGAGAGTGAGTCAGAGCCCACTCCACCCAGGAAAAAGGCCACAGTGGAGCCTTTCAGAACACAGGTGTGAGTCATACGGGAACACTGTATGTAACTGTGACATCAGCGTTACAGCTGGTTATGGGGGCCACCCAGGGGCAGCAAACGTAGTGGTTACATCTGCATTCAATTGGGTTCTATTAGATTAATCCTTGTAAGGTTAATATCTGATACTTGCTTTTTGGATAGGCAGAAACCTTGAAAATAAGTGTGAAAGGCTTTGTTAATAGGCTCTGGTAATGGAAGCCTGGGCTCTGATTAAATTTTGTTTAGCATACACTTGTGGACACCGGTGTATCTTACGGGGATTCTCCGGTGGAGCAATTACATTAAAAAAATTATAACAGCAAATATCTTTTTAAAAAGCATCTTATAGTTAGTCATAATATATCCACATAAATCTGTACATATTGTATGTTTATATACACAAAACTGTTCGCTATAGTCTATTTTTTATTGTTTTTATTGAGTTATACATTTTCCCCACTCCCTTTCTTTCCTCCCCTCTCCCCTTCCACCCTCCCCCAGCCCCCATGTTTCCAGTCTACTCAGGAAATTTTATTGGTTTTTCCTTCCTAAGTATAAATGTATGCCTCTCTTAGCGTCCTCTTTGTTGTCTAGGTTCTCTGGGGTTGTGGACTGTAGGCTGGTTGTCCTTTGCTTTGTGTCTAATATCCAGTTATGAGTAAGTACATGTTATATTTTTCTTTCTGTGTCTGGGTTAACACACTCAGTATGATTTTTTTTTCTAGTTCCATCCATTTGCTTGCAAATGTTATGATGTCATTGTTTTTTCCTGCTGAATAGTATACCAATGTTTGAATATACCACATTTTCTTTATCCATTCTTTGGTTGAGGGGCATCTAGGTTATTTTCAGGTTCTGGCTATTGCAAATAGTGCTATTATGTACATAATTAAGCAAATGTCCTTGTATTAAAGTCTGCATCCTTTGGGTATATGCCCAAGCGTGCTGTCACTGGGACTTGCGGTAGATTGATTCCCAGTTTTCTGAGAAAGCATCACACTGATTTCCAAAGCAGCTGCACATCTTTGCACGCCCACCAGCAATGCAGGAGGCTCCCCTACCCCACAGCCTGTCCAGCATAAGCTGCCATCAGTGTTTTTTATGTTGGCCATTCTGACAGGTGTAAGAGAGGAATCTCAGAGTTGTTTTGATTTGCATTTCTCTGATGACTAGGAATGTTGAGTATTTCCTTAAGTGTCTTTCAGCCATTTTAGATTCCTCTGTTGAGAGTTCTCTGTTTAGGTCTGTACCCCATTTTTTATTGGATTATTTGTTCTTTTGATGACCAATTTCTTGAGTTCTTTGTATATTTTGGAGATCTGTCCTCCATCCAATGTGGGGTTGGTGAAGACCTTTTCCCATTGTAGGCCGCCTTTTTGTTTTGTTGACTGTGTCCTCTGCTTCTCAGTTTCAGGAGGTCCCATTAGTTAATTTTTGATCTCAATGTCTGTGCTACTGAGTTATATTTAGAAAGTGATCTACTGTGCCAATGTGCTCAATGGTACTTCCCACTTTCTCTTCTATGAGGTTTAGTGTGGTTGGATTTATGTTGAGGTGGACCATTTGGATTTGAGTTTTATACATGGTGACAGATATGGATCTATTTGCCTTCTTCTACCTGTTGACATCCAGTTATGCCAGTACCAGTTTTTGAAGATACTTTGTTTTTTCCATTTTATAATTTTAGCTTTTTTTCTCAGAAATCAGTGTTCATAGGTGTGTGGATTGTCTTTGATTTGATTCCATTGGTCCTCCTGTCTGTTTTTATGCCAATACCAAGATGTTTTCATTACTGTAGCTCTATATTGGAGTATGAAGTTAGGGATGGTGATGCCTCCATAAGTTCCTTTATTGTGCAGGATTATTTTGGCTGTCCTGGGTTTATGGTTTTTCCATATAAAGTTGAGTATTGTTCTTTCGTGATCTGTGAAGAAGTTGGATGGAATTTTGATGGATATTGCATTGAATCTGAGGATTGCTTTTGGTAAGATTGGCATTTTTACTATGTTAATCCTACATATTCAAGAAAATCAGAGATTTTTCCATTTTCTGATGTCTTCTTTGATTTCTATCTTCAAAGATTTAAAGTTCTTGTCATATGGGTCCTTCATTTGTTTGGTTAGAGTTAACCCAAGAACTTTATGTGATTTATGGCCATTGTGAAGGGTGATATTTCTCATATTACTTTCTCAGGCTGATTATCATCTCTGTGTAAGAGAGCTACTGATTTTTTAAAGTTAATCTTGTATCCTGTCACATTACTGAAGATGTTTATCAGTTGTTGAGCTCCCCAGTAGAATTTCGGGGGTCACTTATGTATACTACCATATCATCAGCAAATAGTTTGACTTCTTCTTTTCCAATTTGTATCCCCCAATCTACTTTTGCTGTCTTACTGCTCTAGCTAGAACTTCAAGTTCTGTATTGAATAGATATGGAGAGGGTGGGCAGCCTTTTCTTGTTCCTGATTTCAGTGGGATTGTTTTGAGTTTCTCTCCATTTAGTTTGATGTTGGCTGTTGGCTTGCTGTATGTTACACTTATTATGTTTAGGTGTGTTCCTTATATCCCTGCACTCTCCAAGACCTTTATCATGAAGGCATGTTGAATTTTGTTGAAGGCTTTTTCAGCATATAATGAAATGATCATGTGGTTTTTTTTTTCTTTCAGTTTGTTTATATGGTGGGTTACATTGACAGATTTTTTTTTTATTTTGAACCATCCCTGCATTTCTGAGATAAAGTCTACTTGATCATAGCAGATTATCTTTCTAATGTGTTCTTGGATTTGTTTGCCTGTGTTTTATTGAGTATTTTTGCATCAATGTTCCTGAGTGAGATTGGTCTGTAATTCTCTTTCTTAGTAATGTCTTTGTGTGGTTTGGGTATCAGGGTAATTGTAGCCTCGTAAAAAGAGTTTGGCATTGTTCCCTCTGTTTCTATTGTGTGGGACAATTTGAGGAGTATTGGCATTAGTTCTTCTTTGAAAATCTTTTAGAATTCTACACTGAAATCATCTGTTCCTGAGCTTTGGGGGGGGGACTTTTGATAACTGTTTCTATTTCTTTAGCAGTTATAGATCTATCTAATTTGCTTCTCTGTTCTTGATTTAATTTTGGTAAGTGATATTTATCCAGAAAATTGTCCATTTCCTTTACATTTTCCAAGTTTGTGGAGTACAGGTTTTTG